TGTATTTTACTATTATACAGATGTACACGTGTGTGTTTTACTATTATACAGATGTACATGTATATTATACTATTATACAGATGTACTCGTGTATTTTACTTTTATACAGATGTACACGTGTGTGTTTTACTACTATACAGATGTACAAGTCTATTTTACTATTATACAGATGTACACGTGTGTTTTACTTTTATACAGAAGTACAAGTGTGTTTTACTACACACACACACACACACACACACATTAAGTTAAAAAGCACACACACACAAACACACACACACACACACACACACACACACACACACACACACACACACACACACACACACACACACACACACAAACACACACACACACACACACACACACACACACATATATATATTTCTAAAATAGGGTAATCAAAAGTATGGAAGCCATTCTATAGTAAGACTATGTACTGAGTCCTTACATAGATAGAGCGCGTGATACATGCCGTCCCTGTTTTAAAGATAAATACATTTTTTATTTGTTATCTACTTCTAAAGTATTTCATTTATGCTAATCTTGAGTTATTCGAACCGACAGGGCAAATATGTACAGCGCCAAGACATTATGTAGTTTGATAAACTTAGCAAATATATACAGCGCCAAGACATTATGTAGCTTCATAAACTTAGCAAATATATATGTGTGTACGTTATAATCAATAGATAGTGATAAGATGCCAAGTAAAAGCGGGTGATGTGAGAGAATGTTTAAATCCTGAAAATACTATTTTTAAGTATCATTTTTAAGTTGAAAATTTCAATTAATAACCCCGATAAAAAGTACACATATGTAATTATGATATCTAATATGATGTTTTTGAAGTTACTGATTTGAGAGAATTTCATTGAAGAGAAATTCGTTTTGAACTGAAATGGAATGTCAGTTGCCAACCGTGATTTCAGGAAAAGATCCGAGGTGTGTTTTGCCGCTCTCTATCCGTGGCGAATGACATGCGACGGGTCTCCTGCATGTTGTTCAGCTGGATAGTCACCAGCTATGTCTACTAAAACGAATCCAGTATCAAAATGACGAGACAACATTACAACCGACAAACATTTATCTGGTCATTAGACAGTCAACCCTATGTTAGACGTTCAGTCATAATACGGTAATGCAGTTTAATTCCTTTATCTAACTAGAAATCATTCTTGGATCAATGTTATTATGTAAGTTGGTACGTATACGTGTATACACTATGTAGATATACTATTGATAAAATTCTATGTTAGTTTATATAATAGACTATGACGTACCATTTTGATATTTTGTGTTAACAAACCCATTTAAGATTTTTATCATTTGTCTTTTACATTTTAGTTTGTTTAATGTTATTCCCTTTTGGATTGCTGTGTTTTACCGGTTGATGGCCCTAATGATCTGTTATGTATTGACGGGCCCTTAATACTGTAATAATGATAATACTGTTCACTCAATAAGTACACCACCCAAACCTGGCGCGCACTTAAATGGCCTTGGCCGTTTAAAGGACACAAATCTCATACCAGTGTTACTACATGTGTGTGTTCAGGTCGATAATGGGCGGATTTCATTTCAGTATTGTCGGAAATCTTGTTAAGTCTTTAATGTTTATGTTACATACTCTTCATTGGATATAGGCGAACGTATTGAAAATAAAATGTTGACCAAATATGCTTTTTTTTAAATTATCTTCCTGGATGTGTTTGGGTATAAATCTGTTTGGTTTTTAGTTTGTTTTAATTTTTCTTTTGTTAATCGTTTGTTAATTCTTCAGTACAATACAATACAAACTTTTATAACGATGAATACGATCCCCTGACAGACTCCCTCACAATGACAGAATACGTAATTTTACATACATATAGTATGATTTTGATGTAAATATAAAAGCACGTGATTATCATTCGTAAAAGTGTTGAAAGGTTTACTTGTAAAAAACATATTAGTTTAAGTAAATATACACAACATAACGTACAATTCTAAATATTCTGTTTTCATTTTTTTCATTTCTAGACACCAAACTTGACTCAGCTACTGTTACACTGTTACAGAGTATATCTATCACCTTTAACCTCCGCCGTTACCTAGAATTTATCAGCAAATTTTTCCGTTTTAATCCCGGTATTGATAACATCGTAACCTCACTAGATAGTCACAAGTTTTTGTGTCAACTATACAAACAGGTGCCTACCAGGGCATGTGTCGAGGATTAACCCATTTCATTTTGTGTCCAGTCTACTCAAAGCTCCGAATTGAATTATTTGATCACCCCTTATTGTACACAAAAGTTTGCCCAAATAGTTTTTCTAAAAAGGCTAAAGTATCCCATTGAGATAAGCTTTGGTTTAATGATATTTGTAAAAGAAGATATGTTTAATATAAGAATGCTCTATATACTTTGAATACATGTAAATCAGCTGGATATAGAGAATGTCTTGTGAGGAAGAAGTCAGAGTACAAGAAGCTTAAATATTTATTGAAAAAAAGATTATAAATGTAATCAAGAAAACGTGATGAATTATTTACGCAAACATAATCCTAAAGAATTTTACAAAAACCTTTAATAAAAAAAAACTTAATCTGATCTTGGTATTGACGACTTCTACTGACATATCTCATCGCTTAGTAGGGCCTCGCCTACTGCAGATAAAAATATTGGTGATTTTTTAAAATAAATACGATAAAATCATTGACCAAGCTCAAATTGATAAACTTGATGTAGACATAACAGAAGGTGAAAAACTATCAGCTGTTAACAGACTTGAACCTAATAAAGCAGCTAGTAATGAGGGCGTGCCAAATGAATATTGCATTAACTGTCATAATATCATTGTCCCCTGTTTATTCAAATTATTTAATGGTGTATTCAAATCGGGTTTTTTTCCCCCGAGAGGTTGGTCTATTGGAAATATAGTTCATGTGTTCAAAAAAGGTGAAGTTAATAAAACGGACAATTACAGAGGTATAACGTTAGTTAGTTGTATCGGGAAATTATTCACCTCTATATTTAATGAAAGACTGTTGAAATTTGATAACAATTATAATAAAATAACAGTTGCTCAGTTTGAATTCAGAAAGAATTTGTCTACTATTGACACAATATTTGCGCTTCAGTCACTTATTAATCATACATTGAAAAACAGAAAAAGACTTTATTGCTGTTTCGTTGATTACAAAAAAGCCTTTGACTTCGTCAATAGGCAATACTAGTGGTACAGATTGATTAAGGATGGAATTGGCGGTAAATTACTTAGAATTATACGGTCATTAAATAAATATGTTAAATGTTGTGTTAAATATAACGGTACTTTGTCCTAATATTTCGATTGTGAAAACGGTTTATTCCAAGGGGAAATCTTGTCTCCCATTCTTTTCTCATTATATGTAATATAATTATGTGAAATGCAATTTTTAATTGACAACTGTACATCAATAGAAATTCAAGAAATCAATTTGTTTTTATTAATGTATGCCGACGATATGGTGCTGATTTCGGAACGGCTGAGGGGTTACAAAATATGTTAAATTCACTAGCAATTTATACAGTCAAGTGGGGTCTAACAGTAAATACTGACAAAACTAAAATAGGTGAAGATCACGACTTGTGTAATTAGTGCATGTATACTCTCCTGTGTTCGTCATTGTATAACAGTAAGGACATCCTAAAAACATTTCATGATCAATTCCTTTTAAAGAATGTTAAATTTAGATTGTATGAAGCGTTGGTTTGGTCACAACAAGTACATCAACACCATTATGCTGGTAGCCCTTATTTTCATAAGTATAATGTCATGTATGGTAAGAATGACGTCATATATATTGTTATTTTATGTAATATTGGTATGAGATTGACGTCATGTAATATTTTTCTCTGTGTATCGTGTCGCTGCTTTGTGTATTTTAATGTAATATGAATGCAATATTTGCGTCTGACAAGTCAAAAGACTTCAGGAATTAAATACTTGACTTGAAAAAAAAAACTTTTTACTGTCGTCCATATGTATTCAAATCAACTTAATTATTCTCATGTAAAACTATTCAAAACTTTAGACACTTTTGTATGTATTTAAAATTTCCTAACATAAAGCCGATCTTAAATGCCTGATCAGTTGCTGATAGGTTTCACTAACAATCGTCCTATATTTTCTTTAACAAGTTCTTTAACAAGTTGATAATAGTATTATGGTCTCCGCCATTTTGTGGTGATTTAATGGAACATTTACCTATGTATATATTGCATGATAAAAAATATCAGTATTTGGAAATAAAGAAATTTAAACTGAATCACGAAAAGGACATAATGGTAGAATTTTTACCAAGCAAGAATAGACATACATACTGGAGTTTTCGGGGATACATTATCCAGAGTTTTGATCATTAATAATAACGGTTACATGTACTTAAGGGTTTCCCATCCATCGTCCAATTATTTTGGAGAGAGGTGTGGAGGTCCGGGACAATACCTAGAATTACATTCCTGATAAAAAAAATACCAGGTGGTCTGTGGCGTAAATGGAGATGATACGATTTCAGAATCTCCAATCCTCCTTCCCGGAACTTCCCTGCCCAATGTTGTACCTACAGCTACATGTGTAAGGAAGTGTGTCCCTCTCCCTACATCCAGAAATCAGGGTCCCTCGGTCTAGCTACCGCTTATCAATTACTTTCACACGTGAGTACTTGACAACGGTCGGCATGTCCGAAGACGATTCGGACAAACACTCGCTACACATGTGTTGCAATGACAGCAAGATGTGTCTGTATTTATGCTGTGGTAGATAAAGATTGATTCATACAAAGTATCAATTTTCATTAAACCTAAAACAGCTATATTTAATAATGTATTATATACGTGGTCAACAGACAGGTCAATAGGCCAGTAAAACACAGGTAGCAAACCACCGGTGACAAACGCAAATATTGCTCACGTTTGTAATCCGATTGTTTAAACTTGCCGTCACCTACCACACATAATTAGCTGTATAACTCACCTTTATTTTTGATGTACAGAAGGTGAACGTAGAGATACAATCCCAGTATAAATAAAGCCCACAAATACGTCCGTCTTAGCTTGATGGTTCTCATTCTGACCCGTGTCCGGCACTGCTGACCATGAACACCTGTCACACACGAGCGTCCAACGACATGTGGACCGACCTCGACTATCTCAGACGTCATATGCAGTTATTTTTAGCACACATAAGAACCCATTCGACCACAGAACAAACAACACCAAGTGCAAGCGTGACCGAACCCGTTAAATGACCGCAGTGTATACAGTCGGTAGTCGATAAGGGAAAGGTCCTAAACAAATCCTTGTGCACAGTTATAAAAAAACATAACAATAAAACAGGTGTGAACGTCCCTGAAAAGATGAAAACGTTACAAAGGCAGCAGATTAGGGCTATCTTTGTAGTAACAACAGAATGAAGAGTTACAACGTTTGGCCAGTTATAAATAATTAATACTACGACTTGCTAGTAATATCAGATTGAAAGACATCTATTGCCAATACAGCTAAATTAGCAGTTCAAAAATACCTAGAATATTTCGGATATAATGACTGAAAAACGCCAACAAAGAAATATATGTAGTATATACGTGTTTGTTAAACGATCCTTTGACAACTAGTTAGTAGGAAAAATCGATTTTTTTTCTTCTAATTTGGAGATAAACCCAAATGGATATTGATCCTTTCTGACAGCAAAAGCATTAAAGTGACCTTTCCGGTTCTGGCACACAATAATGAGGTTGTTTTAGAATTACCACCAGAAATATTCCATAGCATGTGTTACGACTCTGTCGAAATATTATTTCACTGCTTCTAAACTGTTGGTATTTCGTTAAAACAACATTATCGTAGGTTTTTTCCTACCGTTACGTTATACACACAATTCCGTGTTATAATAACAAATCTATATAACAGCATTACAGATTGACTGAATAATTAATTTCCCCTGGAGAGCAAGCCTTCCTGGTAAGTCCTTGGCATACTCCAACTCCTACTGTGAACATTAATGATACACGTGCTTGTGGACATGACAGATGCTCCAATGACAGTAAAACAGTTTCAGCGAATTCCTGATTAAAACTGACCAGGAAATGAAATTTTATATCGTACAAAACCAGACATGGAGAGTTACAGTTTTGCGTATCAAATGTTTGTTACGTTGTTGTTTATCAAATAATGCTGGTTCTATCGACAGAAAAAGGGCATTTTTAATAATAAACAATTTATTACCTCGATAATATTATTGTTTCTGTGTTAAAGGTATTCCCAGAATTATTTATTATTGTTTCCGTGTTGAAGGTATCCCAAGTATTACATAATATTGTTTCCGTGTTGAAGGTATCCCAAGTATTACATAATATTGTTTCCGTGTTGAAGGTATCCCAAGTATTACATAATATTGTTTCCGTGTTGAAGGTATTCCAAGAAAGTGCTTGTCGATCGGTGTGGACAAATTACTGGTCCTGCTTTCTCAGCTCTTCATCGGAAGTCAGATCGGTTAGAGCGCTGGTCAACGTTCCCTCGGATGAAGAGGTGCGTGGTTTGACCTTATTTCTCATGATGATTTGTGTTTCTAAAGAAGCTAAGAGACGGACCGGCCTGCACTGATGTGTTTGTAGCTTTGGGCAACACATTTTATTTTTATTGCGTTGGATGGTATGCGACGGACAGTCTGTATGTTGTTCAGTGAGGTAGCAACCAGTTACGTCCAGGAGACACCCCTCAAAATGACCCTGTTTGTACACGGAGCGAGGAACCCAGCGACCAAACAACAAAACCAAAAAAAGTTGTTTACCCTGTCCTTCCAATTTAATCTCTTTAAACACAGATTGGCCAATCGAGATACCAGTGAAACAAAGTCTGAGAGACTACAATGTTTAACAATGTCTATAGTTTAGTTTAAAGATATTTTATTGCCGAAAGCAAATGGATTGGGCACAAGTTATCACAACTTGTAAGAGCCCTCTCCACAATAATATATACAACTAGAAATTGTTGTTAACAATTTGGCGGGCTTTTCACTTCTTTGGCGACAAGTTGACCGGAAGTTGACATTTATCCTGATAACGATATATGAGAAAGATTCATTGTTTGTTAATCTCTACAACATATCCAAAGATGAAATTTGTATCTTGAAACGTTAAGGAGATATAACTACATAATAACGAAGAAATACACTTTTTAAAGGTTCAAACATATTTGACCCCTGTGACCTTGAATGTCGGTCAAGGTTATTCATATTTGCAAGCCTTATAATGTAACATCTGATGATCAATATATCCCCAATATTAGTTCTCTAGACCTTGTGAAACTTGACAAGAAGATTGTTGAACACTGGTACCCTATTTTGTATATTTGAACTTTGACCCCTTTAAGAAACCGGAAGTTGACATTTTGAGGGAAGTTTTCCTTATGACAATCAATAGGAAGTCTGCACAAAAGGTTTATAATCAATTTTCATCATTGCATGCCTTCTAGAAATTGAGAAACTTTCATTTAACGATTTTTAGTTAATTGACAATTGTGACCTTGAAAGTGGGTCAAGGTCATTTATATTATCAAACTTTGTTGCCAGTTACATATCCTTCTTGTACATGAAATATCAAGCCTCTAGGTCTTCCAGAACTTGAGAAGAAGTTTTTCAAAGATTGATACCCTTAATAGCATTTTTCAACTTTGACCCCCTACCGCAGACCGGACGTTGAATTTGAGGTACGTTTCTCTTATATCTCTCGACAGGAAATGTCCACAGAATATTTATGTCCAAAGTTGAAGACTTTGGGCAGCTTAACAATGGAGAAATTACCATTTAACGATTTTTACATAATTGACCCCTGTGACCTTGAAAGTGGGTCAAGGTCATTTATGTTAACAAACTTGATAGATAATCAAACAGACATCTTACACCTGAAATATCAAGACTCAAGGCTTTGCAGAACATAAGAAGAAGTTTGTCAAAGTTAGTAACCCGAAATAGCACTTTTCAAATTTGACCCCTACCAGAAACCGGAAGTTGTCTTTTTTTGCAATATTGTCTGATGTCTGTTGTTAGGAATTGATAACATAATGATGTAAACAAAATATTAAGTTTCAATACTAATTGGTTATAGAGAAAATGTCATTTTAAGATTTTAAGACATTTGACCCCTGTGACCTTGACAGTTGACCAAGGTCATTCATATAACGACCCTTTATAGACTGTTGACTGGACATATTAAATATGAAATATCAAGTCTCTAGACCTAATAGAATTTGAGAAGAAGTTCGTCAAAGTTAGTAACCCGAAATTGCAGTTTTCAACTTTGACCCCTACCAGAAACCGGAAGTTCACCATTTATCTAAACTTTTTTCAGACGAAATATGTTTGCAGGGTTATGTTTATAAACTGCTTTAAGCTTAAGTCAATAGCTTGAGCCGTTATTGAGTTACAGCTATTTAGGTAAAATCGGATATGACGTCATGGCGGCCATTTTGTTTTTCTGATGATTTTGTAAATGACACTAAATGGTAGAGGACATCTGGGGAAACCTTTCTGATATAAATTATTCAAAAAAAAAGCCCGTTGGTAAAGATCTAGATCGAGTTTTTCCAAATTGTCGGCATTTTTAAAATATCAAAGGAAATGTTCAAAATGGCGTACAGCGGAAATGGTAAACGTTTCAGAAGAACTGAAAACACTAAATTCATCGGAAGGACGTTCTGCATCGATCTGAAGAAGATTTTTTTTTAAAAGTTCAAAATTGAAAAAAAATTAAAAATTTGTTAAATTATGAAAATTATGAAAAAGATTACGAACCCACAAAATTGGAATAATAATAATAATAATAATAATAAGAAACCGAACAAAAACAATAGGTCTTTTCACCACTTAGTGAAAAGCCCTAATGAATGTGACAACAGCTATGTACAGTTACATATCATTTTTAAATGTAAAATGTAGTAGGGAAAAAGGAAGGAAAGAAAAGATGGGAGAGGAAGAGAAGAAATTGATTTAACAATCTGTCGTAGTCAACGCTCATGTCTGGCACTATAACTGCACAACACATCATTCCTTCTTACACAGTTCATTAAAACACCATTCATATAGCCCATCTCGTTCTCTTCAAGGCTTTCAATTAAGCTTAACTAAAGTGCCAGGCAATCATTCCTCGTAATTAATTGATAACATTCAATATTAAAAAATTAATATAGTTACAAGTAGCTATTAGAGATACAGAAAGGAGAAGAAGGCAAGATCACCAATTCACAGAGTGAAGTCAGAATCTGTTGCTAGCCCACATGTATGTTTGTACGGTGTGATACAACATGTACGTGCTAATATATATAAACTATATGTATGCTTATGCGTACATGTAAGTAAGGTATGTTTGTTAGTATACATACAATGTACTTGCTAATATATATATAGTGTATGTATGTTTATGCGTACATGTAAGTAAAGTCTGTTTGTTAGTATACATACAATGTACTTGCTAATATATATATAGTGTATGTATGTTTATGCGTACATGTAAGTAAGGTATGTTTGTTAGTATACATACAATGTACTTGCTAATATATATATAGTGTATGTATGTTTATGCGTACATGTAAGTAAAGTCTGTTTGCTAGTATACAAACATGTATATGCTTATGTATATATAGTGTATGTATGCTTATGCGTGCATGTCAGTTTGAAGCATGCATAATAACATAAGTTTGAGCGCATGTTTAAGTAAGTTAATGCACATGAGTAAGAATGTAAATGAGTATATAATGTGTATGTTGTATACTGTTTGTATGTATACATTGGTGTATATTTAAATGCTTGTACGATACATATGTCTACAAATGTATATGCATGCATGTACATATGTGTGAAGGAGCGTAAATACTGATGGGTATATATTTGTATATGTAAAGTCTCAGTCTGAATATATAAGTGTGTTCTTGTGGGTGTGTCTGTAAGAGTATGTGTATTTTATTCATGTATCGATTGTACATTGTACTGAATAAAAAAAAAGAAAAAAAATAGTACATTTGTTTTGTCTTGGACTGATAGCTTTTCTAAATTTAGACACAGTTGGTAGATTTCTTATTTCATCGGAAAAATTGTTCCAGAATTTAATAGTGTTAGGCAAGAAAGACAGTCTGGTATTGGTTAGTCTATAATTCGGTAATACATAAT